AACAACAAAAATTTCGAATTCTAGCCTATAACAACCTCGGATATGGATACAACCTTGGATATGGATATGGTCTACCTTATGCTGCTAGAATTGTTGTTTAAACCCTTCATGATTTTGTGATGAACATAGTCGGTAAAATTTCTTGCAATAAAATATGAAACTCACTCCTTTCAATTCAAACCATTTCAGATATAGTGGTCGTAGACTGTATCAATACAATGAAGACGTCATTTTATGAATTCATCAAGAAACAAGGTTGGACGCACACATTAATAAACAAGGTTGGACGCACACATCATGAAACAAGGTTGGGCGCACACATCAAGAAACAAGGTTGGACGCAAACATCAAGAAACGAGGTTGGACGCACACATCAAGAGACAAGGTTGGACGCACACATCAAGAAACAAGGTTGGACACACATATCAAGAAACAAGGCTGGACGCACATATCAAGAAACAAGGTTGGACACACATATCAAGAAACAAGGTTGGACGCACACATCAAGAAACAAGTTGGACGTACATTTCAAGAAACAAGGTTGGACGCACATATCAAGAAACAAGGTTGGACGCACATATCAAGAAACAAGGTTGGACGCACATATCAAGAAACAAGGTTGGACGCACACATCAAGAAACAAGGTTGCAGGCAAACACACTAGACAAACAAACACTAGATAGTATACACCCTTGTATACACCCTTACATAATGTAGCCTTATACAATCATAAGAGGAAAAAACATGTTTTTATGATATTTTCTGACAAATTCTATTTTCCTGTTTGTTAGATTCTGGAAAAAAGTTTCATGTTTTTCTGTTTTCAAAAAAACCACAAATATTGTAGGTAAAATATTCCAACAAAGTACATTTCCAGAATAGATTACAGGAATAGGTTAATGTTGATGTTTTTACTTGTAGTTGTTGTGTCCATAGACTACAGAGATATGTTGGATGGATTACAGTTTTTTTCTACATTAAAAAAAACGGTTCTGGAATAAATTTTACAAGCGCGCTACCGAATGAAAAGGTTATTAGCATAGATAAATAACATTACAGATAGAACACTAGATGTCGTCTTTTCAAGATGTAGGGGTTTTACGTCCACAATAACCCTATGTCAGAGGCCCAAAGGAGTTACGCGCATGCCGCGTTGAATGACAAGACAGAGAGAGAGCTTGCGTTGTAACTCCTTTGGGCTTCTGCCTCAGGTTTAGTGTGAACGGAAACCCCTAAATCTAACAAAAAATGTTTTTGTCCCCAAGACATGATCGGGTTGTTACGATCGAATTTCGAAATTTTTCTATTGCAAAAGTTTGGTGTTGAAGAGGTCTTGTATCGATCTGTCAGGTGTTGCAATCTGGCAGCTACAATTAATTATTTCATACCTACTGCGCTATAGGCATATGACAAAAGCTGCTGAATAGGTCGGATGGGCAAGAAGATATGCCCATCCGACCTACAGCTGTCGTAGGTCAGATGTTGCAGTAGGTCGGTTGGGCAGTAGAGCGGATCAACATTACCACAAAAACCACTGAACTAAAGCAAAGACTTCTTCTTACTGCACTTTTAAGACTAAAATATTAATTCTTGTTACCCCTGGGAAACATTTTTACCGCTTTTATGTGCCGATGGCGAAGTTGGCGGGTAAATAATTCTCGACTTTTTATGTTCGCCGTCGGTTTGTCGGAGACTAAATCTTTGCAGGGTGAAGACGGTAAAGCACAAAATTCGGTAAATGTACAAGGTACGTCTTGTACAAGAACCTGTAGGTAACCATCAGAAAAGTTCTTTGAAAAAAAAGTTTTCTAAAATAAAGTCCTACATTTTATCTCTAAAAAAGCCCTGTGGAAAAAAGTCCCTAAACTAAAAAAAATCCTGGAAAAAAGTCTTACCATTTTGAGAGGAATCTAAAACTCAGGACTTTATTTAAGTGACATTTTATCCTAAGACTACAGTTTTTTCCCAGAAACTTTTTTTCCTGTGACTTTCTTACATAGATTCGAAACTGTACCAGTACAGTGCAAGAAGTAGGTGAGATAATATGACAAAAAACAGGAGTTTCTGGCGCTCTGTTGCCATATCTTCTTAATATAAAACCCCCACAAACTTCATGTTTCCTACGAACATTTACCCTTTATAACTGTTTTAAATATAATATTCTCAAGATGGATCCAGCCTATAATTAAAGCTTAGGGTTAAGTACAAGTACTCCAGAAGCTAAGGGAGATCAGCAAAATATAATATTCTCAAGATGGATCCAGCCTATAATTAAAGCTTAGGGTTAAGTACAAGTACTCCAGAAGCTAAGGGAGATCAGTAAAATATAATATTCTCAAGATGGATCCAGCCTATAATTAAAGCTTAGGGTTAAGTACAAGCACTCCAGAAGCTAAGGGAGATCAGCAAAAATTAGCAATCTTGCAATTTTGCAGTTTCCATGGTAATACTAGGCTAAAATGTGCAGGGAGATCAGATAATGTTTTTTTATACAAAAGTATTACATATTAGATGAAGGACCCGGCGTTGCCCGTGGAAAAAAAATTTGAACAAAATTTGAACAGAAATTTTTCGAATTTTAGCCTATAACACTCACAAAAAATTTCAACCCAATAAGTCCAGTCGTCTGGCCGGCTATAGGCAACATATATATACGAATGTCTTGTTCTATTATATAGATCTTGGTTTTCAACATGTTCTTTGTGCTAGGTTACTATGCATATATATATATATATATATATATATATATATGTACTTATTTGTTTAAGTACATAGTCTATTCAATCAAAGTGTAATAACTCGTCAAATTGATTTTTTCCTTTTGTTCTATATATGTTAACATACTCTTTTTTTATTCTATTCTAATTCTAAAAGTTCAGTATTTTACTAGAAAGAATCATGGTTAACTTTTAAAATTGCATGCCTAAAATTTCTTTAAATTATTAGATATTTTCCAAATTTAGATAGAAAATGATATCTTTTAAATCAAAACTTTGAAGTTAAACGTGTATCTCTATTCTCTAACGTACTTTCTTAGATAATATCAAAAATATATTTTTAATATATTTTTTTCTGTCAACATTTTACAGCAATTACAGGGCATTGTTTATCTGTTTAAAAATACATCCATAAAGGTAAACATTTGATTTGGAATTCATTTGAAATATTTTCCAAATTTATGCAGCAGTTTTGGATATGTAGGTGCTTATATCGAATGATGAATGAACGAATGAAGCGTCAGAGATAAAGAAATACTTTTTTTGTAGATTTATGGAGAAAATGAGGAATATGTCGCTAGGAAGTTGCAATGATTCGCCCTCCTCCCCCCCCCCTCTCGGTAAACATGCAGCTGATCAGTTTAAAATTTTCCATTCCATAACGTTTCTATACTAACCGATTCAGTATTTAATATACAAGACTTGTTTATAATGATTTTGTTTATTTATACAATAATATAGTTATAGATAAGAACAAAAAGATAAAGTTGTTTTTAACTGGCTAATCAATTGCGTATAAAAACATATTTTGATTGATTTTAAAAACAGGTTTGGGATTTTCCCACATAGAAAGGCCAAGCCCCCAAACGACGCAGTTATCTCGAATTTTCTAGAATTCCTGCATACTTAAACCTTAACCCTGACAACCCTGGCTAGATAAGGAAGGGGAGGGACCAGGGAGTATTAATATATAAGTACAACATTCTCCTCATATAATTTCAAAATATTGAGATATTACAGTAGTCTAGTTATTTTTCCATTAGCAAAGATATCATTTTATTTAACTTAAAATTATTTCCTGATTTCACTGAAAATACTAATTAAAAAACGGAAAGAATGTAACCCTAAATAAACTTTTTTTAAAATTTTCTTTATGAACTAAAATACAAATTCATTTTTTTTCCACAAATTGCGAAATTGAGATTATATTTATATTTATGATCAAAGAATAAACACAAGGTATAAACTTTGAAAAACTGAAAAAAAACAGGACATGTGTTTTAATTGGGAAATCTTAAATTCATTCGTTACATATAAAGCTTGATTATACCACTGTGCGAGTAAATACGCTACGTCCTCTAAGCCAAGTTTATGTAGTCACATTATCCCCCTAAGTTTACCGGTGTGCTAGACTAGAGTATGATTGCCCCCTATATAAACTTGAAGTTAAAGTATCTAACCCTCAGTTGTCCCGGTAGCTTTAGATGGAAACCTTTTATAAACTTGAATATATATCAAGGTATAGAAGGAATACAACACTGGGATTCAATGGAAGATTAAATGTTATGAGAGGATTTTTTACATCGACAAATTGTGAAACTTCTGGAACTCTTCTCTACAATAATTAAGGATTAAAACACAAACTTTTATTTTAACTAAGCTGTGATTTATCCTGCGTACCTGATTAGAAACTACAGTATATATCAGGTAATAAACAGTAGTTTTTAACATAAAAGAATATCTAACTTTTAAATTAATTTATTTCTACATCCATATAAAATTCCTACTTTAAAGATCGTGAATGCTTGTATATTGAATATTTAGTCTACACTTTTCATGGAAAATCGCTGTTATTTGATGTATTTTAATGACATTAATATACTTTATATCATGTGTTAGATCAATTTTGTAAGAAACTAAGGAAACTGTAAACTTTTCCTTGCAACTAGTTCCACTCTTAAAATAAAACCCGGTGAGAAAAGGTTAAAAATTAAGTTTGGAATAAAAAGAAAAATTTTAAAACTAAAGTTACCCCGGACAGGCAGGTTTTTATTTTAAGATTAGAATAAGTTCAAAGGAAGTGTTAAGTGTTGATATCTTCTTTACTCTGTGGAAGAAAGATATCATTGATTGTTGCAGATAATAATGAATTGTTAAAATCTTTGATGTAGACGAAAAGCAACGAAGAGCAACAAATTGTTTTTTTCCATTTTAGAGAAGTTATAAATTTTCTATTTCTATCTTTTTTTGTGATTTTGATGTTTTTCAGCTCCTATAATTAAAAAAGAAATAAACACATTAATAAGAATTCTCTTGTTAAGGTTGTTCAGCCCAAACAACAGAATTGTTCAGGGAACCAACAGCAGAATCTCTCCTCTAACCACAAGCAAACTAATTGTTGGACCCAGCAATCCAACAGGTTGGCTTACTTTAGAATCTTATTCAGGGGAAAAAGGCGGAAAATCACTTAATTTGATTTTTAACGGCTACCCGGAATGTAATGCTAGTTGAAAAATATTCTGTTATTATTTTTTCTTAACCTATTTTTGTGTGGAATTAATGTATGTTTAAAGTTTTGTGTCAGTACAAAGATATTTTCAGATTTTCATTGCTGCATGGTTCCAGGATTTTGAGATCTTCTTTTAGGATCAAAGATCAAATTCTGTTTTTAACAAAGAATTGGTTGCAACCCCTTTCCTTAAAAACAATAGAAAGATATGAACACATGGAAATATTATTGATTCTTGAAGAATTAGTAGAAATATTTCAATACAATGGTTTGAAAGCAAATATTTTATTTACTTTTATTTTATTTTATTAACAGTTTAATTTCCATGCTTGCATAATTGATCTTGATAAATAAGATATATTTTGAAGTTTATTTTTTATTTTGATCAAATTCTAAACCATAGACTTTTGACAAATTGAGAGCTTTGAACTAACTTTAACATCTAAAACTATATATGCGGGTATTTTATAATAAATTCTAAAAATAAACTTCAATAAACAATTAAATATTAAATTTATTTTCAGGACTGTTGGATCCGAAGTGACAGGAAACAAACCTTGGAACTCATGAATTCAATCAATGAAAAACTTGTTTCGAGTTTGGATACCTTTTTCAACCAATCATGTTGGAGTTGGAAACCATTCTCGACCAATCATGTTAGAGTTGGAAACCTTTTTCAACCAATCATGTTGGAGTTGGAAACCTTTTTCAACCAATCATGTTGGAGTTGGAAACCTTTTTCAACCAATCATGTTGGAGCTGGAAACCATTCTCGACCAATCATGGTTCGAATTTCGATAACTTTCTCGACCGATCATGAATCGAGTTGCAGAAACCATTCTTGACCAATCATAGTTCGAGTTAGACACCTTTCTAGACAAATCATGAATCGAGTTGGACAACTTTCTCGACCAACTTTGGTTGAGTTGGACATCATTCTCGACCAATCATGAATCGAGTTTGATAACTTTCTCGACCAACTATGGTTGAGTTGGACATCATTCTCGACCAATCATGAATCGAGTTTGATAACTTTTTCGACCAACTATGGTTGAGTTGGACATCATTCTAGACAAATCATGAATTGAGTTTAACAACTTTCTCGACCAACTATGGTTGAGTTGGACATCATTCTCGACCAATCATGAATCGAGTTTGATAACTTTTTCGACCAACTATGGTTGAGTTGGACATCATTCTAGACAAATCATGAATTGAGTTTAACAACTTTCTCGACTAATTATGTATCGAGTTGGATAATTTTCTCGACTAATCATGAATCGAATTGGACAACTTTTTCGACCAATCATGGTTCAATTTGGACAACTTTCTCGACCAATCATGGTTCAATTTGGACAACTTTCTCGACCAATCATGGTTCAATTTGGACAACTTTTTCGACCAATCATGGTTCAATTTGGACAACTTTCTCGACCAATCCGAGTATTCTAATGCTGTTAATTTTAAGTAATCTTTGTATTTTTTTCATTAATATCGTTCTATATTAAGCTTAATTAATCTCTGCGAGCACACTTCTTTTTAAATAACAATTTATAATTGTACTTGTCAAATGTAATAAAAGTTAATTTTCGCTAATTTTTACTTTAAAACAATACCCATTGACTTCTTTGTCCTTTGAAGAGATGTCGACATTCACGCTTTAAGTATTTTAACTTTTCTCTAATAAGATTATCAAAACAACTTCATAAAAACAAATTTTTGAATGCTTAATATTACTAATATTAATATTTTTCTCAGGCAGTTTTTAAATAAAATTGATATAATCTTTGAAAAGCAATGGAAAGTTTACGTTAAAAAAAAACTAATCTTTTTCTTGTCTTAAGAAGGGAAATATATATATGTGAGTAACCCAGTATATATAAATATATACTGGCTTACTCACAAAGGATGAGACTTCAGAGACTATTTACTGAATACCTTCTAACATTTTTCTCACATTCAAGGTTCTCTGCAGCTGTTTTCTTTCTTTCTTTTTCAAAGGAATTGATTTCCTGCCACAAAATTTAATAATCTATATAACTCCTATATCTTGGCAAACTAATTTCATAGACATTTGATATTTCAAACCTTTAAACTTTGTTAAATAAACTAATCAATAAGTTTAAAATATCATAGTTTTAAACCATCAGGTTGCAAAGATATAGGGATGAAGAAATTCGAGTTTGTGGCAAAGATTCAATTCCTTTGAATCTAAAATTCAACCTTCAGATCGTAATATTCAAAGAGTTTCAGTTTGTCGTTAAAGTTGCAGCCTTTGTGTGTAACCCTTTACTTAAATAAACTAGAGAAACGAAAGATCAGAACTTTTTGTAGTGAATCCAGGTATCAAGCATTGATCTCAATATTTTGTAGATCTACGGATTTACTTAATTCCTCTAACCAAGTAGGAATAAATGAAATAAAGAGATCAAGCATTGATCATTATTGTAAATGGAACTCAGGCGTTTAAGATTAATGATACTGATATAATGATAGGAATTTTTATATTTATGTTAAAACTTTTAAAAATTGTAAACATCAAATTTACCAAAAAAAATGAAGAAAAATGAAAACTTAAAGAGTTCCACGATGATACAAGGAACTATGTTGATCTGGAAATTACAGGGTGTCCCACGAGCCACGAAACATGACAGTTGGTGAATAGTTTAGAATGTCTTCTTCCATATTTTTTCAATTGTTTAATACCAAAGACAATAAAAAAAAATATTATATAGGAGTCATATTGTAGTAAAATTAATTTCAAAGTAAAATATACATGAGCAAAAGAATTTCTAAAGGAATTAAGCTGCAAACAGCCTTTAATATCTAATACAGTGTAAGGAAGACGACATTCAAAACTATTTACCAACTGTCATGTTTCGTGGGACACCCTGTAGATGAAAAGAAAATCGTTATGGTTGGTTACAACAATATATGTCTAAAACGTAAATATGTTCTCAGCTGGGAAATTTTGTTTTGGATGCCTTTATAATCCCATACGGTCGATATCAATATCCACTTTGGGCACTTTTAATATAAATATCAATTCATTTAATTTTATTCTGCAGGGTCCGATTACCACTAGATATATCTAATAAAGATTAGATTAATATGTCGATTAACAAAAGATCGAGATTACGCAGCATTGATCTCGATATCCCACCTCCTGGTCAAATATAAAGAAATAAATCAGTTACATTTACCTTAACTGTAGGAAACATTTTTTTATAATAAGAAGGACGTTAATAATTCCACTATTTCTATTTATTTTTGCATGTTTTTAAAAACTAAACGAAAAATTTAATGTGTCCATATTTCAATATTTCGTCAGGTATCATGTTAGTATTTCAAGGTCCGTGTAAAGTACGTGAGAGTCTGATCTGTGCTAACTCTCTTTATTACCTTTAATCTTGTTATATCTGGTTTCTGAATCCGTTTCTTGAGAATCATGCCCCGGGAATTTAAAGAGCTGGGGGGAATACCATGAAAACTAGTTTTTTGCCTCCTTCAATTGTCTTCAAACTAGAATTTACTGTTAACTCGAATTGTGATGACTAAAATAATCCTGGTACTCATAGTTAACCAAGTATTTAACTATTAAGCACAGTTTGGATTTAGACGTTTTAAAGAAAATCTATGAATATTTGTAACATGCAAGATTAGAATCAGATTCTCCTAATCTGTATCTTTATTCTTTGTATTCTGCATTTCTTTGAAACAGAATCATGCATCTCAGAAAAAGGCTAGCCTCAGGCGTATAACCTTGAAAAAAGTTTTGCCGTGACCTGATGTTGAAATTAGTTTGTCAATTATTTAACTCTATCACTGAAAGTTTTTGTTTCGTCAGCTGTTTCTGTAATATTTGATTCATATCCAAATCGTTTCCTATCGAATTTTTTGGATTTCATCGCAAAAACGTTATTCGAAGAAAAGCACTGAGTCTTTGCCACAAACTCTAATTTTCAAATCTCCACATTTTTCGAACCCAAAGACGTTGACCCCAGATATTTCAGATCAAATAGTCTCAATGTGAGTATTTGAATGAATACAATGAAGGCCACTTACGATTTCATTTTCGATTTATAGGATTTATATCAAGCTGTTAAACAGCATGGATACACATATGTAAATTCAAAAAGCTTCTCTTTGATTACTTTAAAACTTAAACTGTATATTCGAAAAAAAACTTGTTATTAATCAAAACTTAAATAAAAAGTCGTCTTCATTGTAATAATATAATCGTCTACCAGTTACCACTGTATCTAAAATTTAAACCATTAGGTTGTAAAAATATTAGGATTAGAAAATTTGAGTTTGTGGTAACTAAACTTTTTGAAAGAAATCTTCGAAAACATTTATATTCAAAATAATTATGGATAAAGAAATAATAAATTCTAAAATTGATTTTATCGATAATTTCTTTTGAGAAATATGTTTCTAAACAGTAAAAAACTTCAAAATAGAATATATTTTGTGAATTTTGTCAGGATCATTAAAAATATAAAAATACCCTTTAACTTTACTCTGCAAAGCCGTCGGGTAAAAAGTATTTTGTTTTTACGTTCTGACGCAGCAATTATCAACGTAAAAACATATAACTGGTTTCAACTTGATCCTAAGTTATTCTATAATGCTACATTCTGAACTCAACTTCAATTAAAAATTTTGAAACTGACAATGTCGTCTTAGAGTCTTAGCTTAGCAATTATATCGTTGTTTGAACTCTACTTGAAGAAGCTGGACTTTTTAAATATTTTTCTTTCAGCAGCATACCGTCAGAGTTAGGGCATAAATTAATCACAAAAAAAATCAATGAACACCTTTTTTTCTACCGGTTCTTTCAGAACAGCACAGTATTTATGTTAATGCCATATGAAAATTAAAATTATTTTAATGCAGAAAGGACATACAGGGTATCCACATCATATTAAATCGTTATTTTAGCTTAATATTGCGGTTTTCGGGACTAATCAGAAATTTAAAAAAAATGAATCACTTGAGGAATTAATATAAGTCAATGTGAGAATTTCCATGCATAAAAATCTAGTTTTTTGTGAATCATGTGGAAATAATCCTATATGATATGGGACTCTCTGTAGATAAAAAAAGTAAAAACTAAATTACACAAACTACTTTGAAGTTTGACCAAACATAATATAAAGATTTTGTTAAATTGTGTTTCTACGTACTTGCATAAGAGAAATTTTGAAATGAAAATTATCTAGAAGGATTTGCTTTCTAAAGAAATCCCAATGATCTAAAGGTTGAATATAATTTTCTGTATTCATAATATTCTTGTGAAATATAAAAAGTTTTGTGACAAAGGAAAACATATGTCTACAGCTCCAACATTCACTTTTTAATAATAATTTCAACAAACTATTTTCTAATACCAAAAAGACAAAATAAATATATTTACAAGATTATACTTTAAATGTTTCTCATCATCCTTTGCTCCGAGGAAAAGAAAAAAATAAATATTTATTATGAAGAGCATCGTAAGAACCCGTGTATACTGTATATCTATTGAATATTTATTTTTATTGTTTTGGCTGGAGTCCAACATACATAAGAGAAAAGATTCATTTATTTACCACCTCTCAGTATAGATTGTAGTTCTAGAAAGAGAATATATTCATTTAAACCCTCTCCCAGTATAGTTTTTAGTTCTAAGAATGAGAATAGATTCAGTTGAACCTTCTCCCAGTATAGTTTATAGTGCTATAGGAGAGAGAATAGATTCAGTTTAACCTTCTCCCAGTATAGTTTAACGTGCTAGGAATGAGAATAGATTCAGTTGAACCTTCTCCCAGTATAGTTTATAGTGCTAGTCGAATGAGAATAGATTCAGTTGAACCTTCTCCCAGTATAGTTTAACGTGCTAAGAGAGAGATTAGATTAAGTGAAACCCTCTCCCGGTAAAGTTTATAGTACTAGGAGAGAGATTAGATTCAGTTGAACCTTCTCCCAGTAAAGTTTATAGTACTATAGGAGAGAGAATAAATTCAGTGAAACCCTCTCCCAGTAAAGTTTATAGTACTAGGAGAGAGATTAGATTCAGTTGAACCTTCTCCCAGTCAAATTTATAGTACTAGGAGAGAGAATATAGTCGGTGAAACCCTCTCCCAGTAAAGTTTATAGTACTAGGAGAGAGAATAGATTCAGAGATTCGGCTGTGCGCTCCCAGCCGCCCTCTCAAGATATACAAAACAGAAAAGAGAAAGTAGAAGAATAGATTCAGCTGATACTCCTCTAAGTTTGGACTTAAACTGAACTTTTGCTTAAAGTTAAACTATAAGATTCAGTTAATAGGAAAAACGATCGCTTCAGGTGTATTTAAAAGTACTCATAAAATAATAATAATAGTTTATATCGTGTAGATACGTATGTAATTTATAAATGTAGAATTGAAGTAGAAAGAAAAGCTTTCTCTATACTCAAAGTGTATTATATTTGAATTAGTGAATGAAGTGCTATGGGTGACACACAGTATAACAGCTTTTTACACTGCAAATGCTAATCACGGTAACGTAAGGTACATAAAAAATCGAACTTTATTATAATTTATTATAACTTTGTAGTATCCTATACCATCCTATATCATATTATTTTCAAAATTACAACTTTTTTCAGTTACGTATAATGGGAAACAGTTTAGCTCGTCTGTTTGGAGATTCAAGTATTAAGGAGGAGGAACCTTTTCCTGTTCAAGAACTACTAACATTGTAAGTACAAGTCGATAGAAGGAAGAAATAGGGAGAAAAGGCGAGAAATAAGGAAAATTTAGAGAAATAGAGAGAAAAGCGGAGAAATAGGAAGAAACAGGGAGAAAAAGGGAGAAATAGTGAGAAATAGGGAGAAATAGTGAGAAATAGTGAGAAATAGGGATAAATAGTGAGAAATAGTGAGAAATAGGGAGAAATTGGGAGAAATAGTGAGAAATAGTGAGAAATAGGGAGAAATATTGAGAAATAGTGAGAAATAGGGAGAAATAGGGAGAAATAGTGAGAAACAGGAAGAAATAGGGAGAAAAAAGGAGACATAGGGAGAAATAGGGAGAAATAGGGAGAAATAGGGAAAAATTGGAGAAATAGAGAGAAAAAAGTAGAAACAAGGAGAAATAGGGAGAAATAGTGAGAAATAGGGAAAAATTGGAGAAATACAGAGAAAAATGTACAAACAGGGAGATATAGGGAGAAATAGCGAGAAATGGGGAGACATAAGGAGAAAACGGGAGAAATAGGAAGAAATGCGAGAAAAAGGGCAAAACAGGAAGAATATAGGGGAAAATAGGGAAAATAGGGAGACATCTGAAAGGGGAGATATTGGGACGAATAGGGTGAACCAGGAAGAAACGGGGAGAAAAGGGAGAGTTATAGAAAAATATGAAGGAATAAAGAGAAACAGAGAGAAAAAAAGAGAAATTCGGAGAAATAGGGAGTGATAAGTAGAAACAAGAAGAAAAAGAGTGAAAAAGGGAGAAATAAGAAAAAACAGTGAGAAACAGGGAGAAATTGGGAGAAACAGGGAGAAATTGGGAGAAATAGGGAGAAACAGTGAGAAACAGGGAGAAATTGGGAGAAACAAGGAGAAATTGGGAGAAATAGAGAGAAACAGGAAGAAACTAGTGAGAACAGAACGCAGGGTATAATTAACTAAACTCCATTTTTGCAGGTTTGCTCTGATTGGGCTAGGTCTCATGTTCTTAATTCTCATCGTGTATGGAATGGCAAAATCATGCAGAAATGGAGATTGTAGTAAACCTGTACAATCTCCGGCTTAAAGTCATATAAACTGTACACTCTCCAGTTTAGAGTGGTATAAACTGTACAATTCTTCAGCTTAGAGTGATTTCAGCTGTACAATCTCCATTTTAGAGTAATATCAACTCTGTAATCTGAAGTGTAGAGCAATATCAATTGTACCATCTCTAGCTTAGAGTTATAGGTATGCAGACAATCTCAAGCTCTGAATAATTTCATCTGTGCAATCTCCAGCTAGTGTGATTTTAAAGTACAATTCTCTTGTTGAAAGTGAATTATACCTTGACTTTGTTTAATTATAATACTCTTAACTACCCAATCCGTGTAGGCATAAAACGTCCCTTTGTACGTACTTGATCTCTAATTAAATCTCTAATTAAATCTCTAATTAAATCTTTAATTAAATCTCTGTTTAAATGATAAATTTCTAATTAAATCTCGAATTAAAGCTTTAATTAAATTTTTATGCTCGCAAAAATTACTTGTGTAGTACCCCGACACTCGATTTGGAGGAAACAAAATTTGTTGTATTGTGTGTGCCAAAAAATATTTTTATAAAAAATTTTGAAGTTATCCCATTATTTAAATAATAAATTCAAAGAATATCAGTTTTAAATTAAGATTGACAGCTATAAAGAAATTTAAATCCCTATTTCATTCAAGAGATTCATTTTTGTCGGCGGTATTCAGTTGGGATAAAATTAATAATATGAATGTGTTGCATAATATAAATATTATAAAGTAAGTATGAAAATATATTTGTATTATAAACCTTTTGTCATAGTGCACCCTTCATTTAAACAATGTTTTGAAATGAAAGACGACATTTCATTCGTCTTCAATTCACGATAAATTTGTTTGTGAATTCGATTATGCTGATTACAATCGAAATCTCAAAATATATTCTCCAAGTGTTTCTATCTGCCAGGTTAACACCATTTTCTTTTAAAATAAGAAAAAATTTACAATAATTTATATTCTCATAAATTGTGAATTTCCCAAAAGTGGCTTACTAATTGTGTCTTCAATTTTTTGTCTATCATCTTTGTTAAGAGAAGCACACAAACAGATGTATAATAGGTAGAATGAAATCCATCGGACTATTCAAAATAAACGGACTAGTATGCTTTTCAAATGGATTAACAATAAACAATGCGAGGACTACGAGTTTATATGGTTTTTGCACAGTTAAACTCTAATATAAGTAGACATCGGAAGAATTTTGAAAAAAAAATTTTTTTGCTGAATTTTACTGTGGTTTGCTGTTGTTGAGAATCTTTCAATATGAAGGATTTTATATAATAGAGCGTACATGGTACATAGCAAGAGTGCATGAAATGTCGTCTTGAAATTTATCTAAAAGTTTATGACAGCTGTTATGCTTTATCATTGTTCTGCGCATGAAGAAAACTGCTCAGATGGTCGCAGCTTTAAATATATATCCGAATATCCTTTTTGAGAGTATAATTTGAATATTAATTTTAAATAACTACTTTTTATTTTTTAAGGTAAATGAATAGCCCTGAAATATGCAGCACAGTTATTAATATATACTAGTTTTTCCGCGGCATTTGATCTTAAATAGGTTGAGAATACGACATTATAAAAACTCTTGTATGTATCCATATATCTAGGATTCACTGTACGTAAATTAGCGACAACTTTAAGAAGCTATTTGATAACATTGTTATTGCTATTTATTAATCTTAACAAAAAAGAAAGTTATAAAATTTTCATACCCGATAAAAAACAACACAGAAATTTATATATTGCTTAAGTAAATTACACATATCATTGTAAATCTGCGAGCAAAAATTTTTGACAGCTTGGGAAAATACAAGACTGCTTCAAATTCAAATTCAAGGCGACATTATATACATTCTTCCTATTTTTGGAAACGTATATTCTAGTTTTGTATTCTTTATTTATTTATCCAAAAAAAATTATCTTTTGTGTACAATGTGCATATCCCTGTATATAATATATATTGAATATCAGAAACCGATAAACTAAACACCTGAAGAAGGATTACATACAACAGTGAGTTCCAACATGAGAGGAACATATGGAATACTGTGCGTTTTTTTAATGTTTATAGTGTCTTCTGCTTCATTTTTTTGCAGTTGGCTCTCAATAGACGGTAATAAAAAACAAAAGTCTAGGAATAGCTAAAAGAAGGACACTACAATGAAACCCTTAATAACGAATACATCGAAAAAATTCATCTAATGTCGTATTCTTCCTTTTCTGATAATGGAATGTTGCAGATATTTAGCTTTTTAATTAAATGATTATATGGAACTCTTTAAAACTGTTCCCGCATATTCATGGCTATTTATTTATTATAGTATAAAACTCATTGAAAAATTGTCAAGACGACATTTGATAAATTCTTCCGATGTATTCGTTATTAAGGGTTTCACTGTAGGATTTGACAAACTCTTTATGATGAACTCCTAAATATACAAGGTGTATTTGAAAAAAGTATGTTTAGGCTTCTTATCCGACTAAAATTCGTTGTATCGTGTTAAAAAGTGCTTTTAGCAGGTACAACGGTCATAATAGTGGAGGGGGGGGGGTCGTTGATGAAAATGCAGTTTTAACCTTCAAAAGTAGGCCTAATATTTGAGAAAATATGCTCGGTCTCTTTTACAAAAATTTTCAAAGAAATTTGGTTAACATTTTTTTACATTTTATACAACAGAAATCGCGCAATTAAATGATAGAATTAAGAGTATTTTTAAAATAAATGACATAAAAGGATGTTTGAATATTTTTGAAAATCTTAGGAAAAGGGACCAAGTACATTTCGAGTACATTTTGAAGGTTAAAACGGAATTTTAGCGAAAAATGTTTTAACGACGGCCTGGCCACTTTAAGATCATTGTACCAGATAGAAGCTCTTTTTAATACAATTTAACGATGTTTTAGTATGCCAAAAAGCCTAAACACACTTTTTTCAGAGACACCTTGTATACTTTGCTCGTAACCAAGAAACATCAAAACGGCCTAACCGATCGGGCACCTAGCTTTTTTGTGGGAAAAAATGGCTTTTAAAACTTTTGATTTTTCAAAATCCACCAAAATAAATCGATAAAAGAGCAACGATTAAAAGTTAAAAGAATGGCGTGATGCGCCCTTGGAGCCTTGTATAAAAAAATTATTAAGTATTTGTTTAGTGAAAACGTATAAATATTTTGCGGGCAAATTCTAAAATACGCTTTTTTTATACATTCTTTTCTGATACCCAATCCATCTTCTTTCTATCAAAAGTTGTATCCGCCCGGCCATGTATTCAACCCACCTTCCCTTTCTATTTCTCCGATAAATATTCTTTTTTAGTGTTCTAGTGTTCTCTCAAATATAAAATTTTCGTTAACTATTTAACCAATCGAAGCAACCTGCACCGGTTAGACGGGTCCAGTCTTCCTGTTAGAGTGAGAAATCATTACACGAGTAAGCTAAAATGACTCCTTACGAGGCATTTCAGTTTTGGGACGTGGGAATACAATGTATCTGTTTGCACTACTAGGATTATATGTTGTTTTCATTTTGCTTGATATAATTTGACGTCAATCCGTAATATGCCTTTATAATAATTTATATGAATTTCTAATTTGAATTGGTTTATTATGTACTAGCTTGGGAACACAGCTTTGCCCGTGTACTAAACAATCTCTAATAAATCTCAATCCAATCAACTAAAAATATTTCTGTGGTTATACAAAGTTCCTTAATTAAAATTTGAGACAGATCGGTCAAGTGGGTTCATGAGTTGTAATCGGACACACACACAAACAAACAGACAGAGATTACTATTTTTTTGTTAAGACTATCGATGCATTAATTTTAAACAACAAGTAGTTCTTGAATAAAAGGAAATATTAAGATCCTTAATTTAAACATGCACAAAGCCAAACTTGTCTTTAACCACATTTTTGTATTTTGTTAGACCTTACATCAATATTCCTTGTTTATTGATTGTTTGATAAACAAATATAAATAATCTTTGCGTTTTTACACCCGGCCACAGTTCAATTCAAGGTTTCAAAGTCATCTGTTTATAGGTTTTGTTTAAAAATCAGATTTCTTGGTTAAATTTTAAAAACTTGTTTGAAAAAGTTGCCGCAGGGGTAGGCGTGTTCAGTCAGGAAAAAAGATCCTTTCTTCTACTAAAATCAAACTGCATTTTGGTCTGGTTATGGAGCAACGTGAAGAAAAGTGGGCGTTGGCCAGGGTACTGAGAATCTAAACAGTATTGTTTATATCTAAATATACGAGTACAATGTGTCCCAAATCATATTGGATTGTGTAGAAATATAAATTTGGATTTTATAAACATGTTAAATAATTTTAAATCTAAACCTCAAATAACTGTTATATGATATTGTATATTTGGTTAAAGAATAATAATATAAATTATTGCTTTATATAGAATATATCGGGTTTGTTTGAAGTTGGAACTAGGATGGTCTGGTTGGGGCGGGAATAGAATATATCAGGGTTGAACTAGGATGATCTGGATGGGGCGGGAATAGAATATATCGGGGTTGAACTAGGATGATCTGGTTGGGGTGGGAATATAATATATTGGGGTTGAACTAGGATGATCTGGTTAGGGCGGGAATATAATATATCGGGGTTGAACTAAGATGATCTGGTTGGGGCGGGTCTATAATATATCGGGTTTAAACTAGGATAGCCTGGTTAGGGCGGGACTTAAATATATCGGGTTTGAACTGTGATGGTCTAGTTGGGGCGGGGTTGGTATAAATACTAGAGCACTGAACCAAGCCAACTATACCGTTTAGCATCACAAAACGAGTAGCATGAAGAGATTTGTGAGTATTTTTTCTTAATTTTTAAAATGTGAAATTTATATCTTTGGCTTTGATTTCTTTTAAACTTTTTTCAAATTTTCTTAATATATTTCAGACAGTTATATCTGCCCTTGTATCCATAGCAGCAGCAGTTGATACAGTCACTCTCTTTAATTCTGGACTTCCCCTTGCTGCTTCCACTCCTTTAACCTATGCTGCTGCTCCTGCCTATGCCTATGCTGCTGCTCCTGCCTATGCCTATGCTGCTGCTCCTGCATACACCTATGCCGCTGCTCCAGTAGCTGCTCCAGTCTATGCCCCTAACTCTCAGTTCCATGCACAGGATGAGTTCGGAAACTTGAACTACGGATACAGCAACATCAACTCTGCCAAGCAGGAGATTGGAAACACCTACGGAGGAGTATCTGGATCCTACTCTTATGTTGACCCTAATGGGGAGCTCCAGCAAGTTAACTATGTTGCTGATGCTCTTGGTTTTCGTGTTGCTGACTCCAGACTTCCTGTAGCTCCAGTAGATACCGGAGTAGCTCCTGAGTTCAATCCCGAACCTCTGGTTGCTCCCGTAGACAACGGAGTAGCTCCTGCTCCCGTTGAGGATACTCCTGAAGTTGCCGAGGCTAGAGCTGCTCACCTGGCTGCTGTGGAAGCTGCCAAGGCTGGAGAGAGGAAGAGGCGTGCTGCTGACCCAGCTATCCTCGCTGGATCATCAGCAATCATCTCTGCTCCTACGCCATTCATCCATAATGCTCCAGTCATTCCTGCAACTTATGGATACAACCTCGGATACGGATACAACCTCGGATATGGATACAACCTTGGATATGGATATGGTCTGCCTTATGCTGCCAGAATTGTTGTTTAAATCCTTCATGATTTTGTGATGAACATAGTCGGTAAAATTTCTTGCAATAAAATATGAAATTCACTCCTTTCAATTCAAACCATTTCAGATATAGTGGCCGTAGACTGTATCAATACAATGAACACGTCATTTTATTTACAATTCGTTGATCCCTATACCAAGCATTTTTCAAACTACAGCTGGTATTGTCAACTTCTCTTTGTTTACATGTTTGGGTGTCTCTGCTGTTTGAAAGATTGGTAGAAACTCAGACTATACAATATATATAATATTTTGAGGGTAGAAATCAAAATAGAAATAGAAAGTCGTCTTCATTATATTGATATATACGACGACGAATGTATAATTTGCAGATGTAATGTCAATTGTTTTAGCACTTAAAATACATTGTACGTTGCATTTAATATTTTTTTTACCAATAACAATTCACAATGATATTCTTTAAATCAATCGTCTTTGTATTCCTTTGTATTTCGAAGGATTCCTGTACAATTGTACAACTTTAAATAAAACAATGGTACAGTTCTAAAATTGTGCAACTGTACAATTGTGCAACTGTTCAATTGTACAACTTTTCAGTTGTACAACTGTTCAATTTTACAACTGTACAAATGTTCAACTTTATAATTGTACAAATGTACAATTGTACAACTGTACAGTGGAGAAGAAAGATAACTAAAATGTCTCAACTTATGCTTTTGAATATATATAGTCCAATGAACATAAAACAAAGCAAAGTGCAGCGTACACATCTCCGTTTCATTTAATAATCTAATTTTCAAGATTCTGTTAAAACTTTTAGTTATGTATCAAAATCAAATTCACATACATGATACAGGGTGTCCCAAAAAACATGAGAATTCAGTGACGAATTCGATATAGTCTTTGTTATGAATTAGCCATAGAGAATAGAATATATATTAGAGGGGAGTTTAGAGAATCTCTCGGTATGCCTTTTTTTAACCAGTTTCAGCCTAAAAGGGAGTTCAAAGTGTACAAAATCATGTAAATGTTCACAAATTATATGCAGTAGAGTACATTAATACAGTATGTTCCATAGACTATTTATTTCAATTTCGAATTTTTTAAAGCTGTTAAATAAACTTTATAATGAATTAGGTGAATAAAAAACATCATTTGATCTATAATTATAACGGAAAATCATCGTTTGTAAAGTGAAAGGCATAAAGTCTATGTGAAATGATCATTGGTCAATTATGAAACCAGCTAATTTCATAATTTGGTTTTCTTTTAACATTAATTTTAGATTTTCTATAAAATGATATTCCAGGGCCCAAAAGGTTATATAGCATACATATGTGAAGTACACCTGCAGTATGGAAACAGTACAACAAAATGGCCGTTTTACACTTTTATCTAGTAAATTCCTCTCTAATATATATTCTATTCTCTTTGGAATTAGCATTGTAATACATAATTTCAAAAGATATAATATTATTATGTCTGCTAGAGATATTTTATAAAAAGGGTAAAAGACTGTAAAGATGTATCTATAATGTCTCCGCAAGATGAACAGTGAAGACGGACAAGTTTACTCTGTTTGCATAATGTAATTTTCTTGTTTTACTAAGTACACCGTATGTTGTCAAAACATAAACAAACAAAATGTTAACATACTAAATCAAAGAATTATTTAAAAAGACGATATTGAATTCGTCCCTCATTTCCCATGTTTATTGGGACACCCTGTAAAACAAACATGATCCTTTTCTACATTTATGGTTCCTGTGAAAACTTTCTTATCTTTAATCTCGCAAATTATGTTTGATATGGGTCTAGCTCGTCTAGCTTTATTAGAACTGTGACATCATTATTAAATATTAAACATTGATTGTCTAGGCCTCTGAAATTACGATAACATGTTTTTCATCAACATTAAGTATTTTTCCAAAAAAAAAAAAAATATTATCAAAATCAAGTATGTACTTTTCAAAAGTACATTCTCACAACTCGTGGTTCAGAGTAAACAGACAGTATTTTTCATATCTACTAAATCTATACCATATCTGCTGTATATGAAAACTATTTGAACATCGTCTTTGTTTTCTGGTAGTTGAGTTGCGGGTTTATTTTCCTTTAAAAATCATTCCCCTCCCCCCCCCCATCAGTTATGAATGTTTTTTAGGCTTTTATTCGCTGAATTAGTGAAAATAAGTTTCTGGGTAAAAATAACGAGGTACAGCTAAACCCTAAATAAGCTATACATCGAAAGAATTCATCAAATGTCTTATTCTTCACTTTCTGATAATGGAATGTTGCAGATATTTAGTTTCTTAATTAAATGATTATATGTAACTCTTTAAAACTCTTCCCGCATATTCATGGCTATTTATTATTTCCGCAAATACTGAAATTTACGTAATATAGTATAAAACTAATTGAAAAATTGTCAAGACGACATTTGATAAATTCTTCCGATGTATTCGTTATTAAGAATTTCACTGTAGAAAAAACTTGCATTTCCATGTCCAATTCCCCCTCCCCAAATATTCAAAAATCATATTAGATAATTAGGGTTATCCACAAAGAATGAGACTGTAAAGACGGCCCAAAACTATAAAAATATAACGATTTGAAGCTTGAGTTGTGGTTACTGCATTCAGTTGTGTATTTAGATTTTTTTCTAAGTGATAAAGCTAAAAAAATAAGCCAGTTTTGGCCTACAAGGAACCCTGAATACAATAAAACAGACTAAACAAATTCCGTACAAATGTCACTAAAGTCTCATCTGGACAATTTTGATTCTATTTCATTTCTTTTCAAAGTTGTAATTATTTTAAAAGTAAAAAATGCCCGACAACATTATCAAATTTTAAAGTTTCCTAACAATTTTTTTAATAATTTTTTTAAATGGTGTGACGAGACTTAATCACAACACAGTAGATTTCATTATAATTTTCACTTTCTGAATTCCACCCACTAAGTGTTTTCCAGAGTTCAGACAATTTTGAAAATTTTTCTGGTTTCATTGCATACGTTTTGAAGCGCACTGAATTTTAACTGTAATTATGCTCAATGGTGGGTATTTTAAATAGAATACGAAAATATGCTGCGTACCGCGTATATTTTAGAATACTAGATTGAATTTTCTACGAAAATATGCTGCGTACTGTATGTATTTTAAATAGAAAACTAAAATATATTTTCCAAGAAAATATGCTGCGTACTACATGGAAAAACCTTGTTGTATTTAACAACAGGGTAAAAAATGTACCAATTTTGAATCATGAAAACCCCAAGTCTACAATGACAGTATATGACAAAACAATTCTTATTTATTGATTGAAAATTTACCTTTTATTGCTCTCTTTCAATTGGTTCCTAGAAATCTGCTCTTGAATGTCGTCTTCCATACAATAATCACACAAGGAATAAATGTCGTCATCTACTCCTAAAATCAAGAAAAGCTTATAATTGAATATATTTTGAGAAGTTAAGAGAACGATCCTATTAAAAAGCACCAGCTAGCGAATCCAAGATAAAAATTCTAATTTGATCAAAGAAATCTTTTTGACTGATACATCAACTGTAGTGTAGCACACTGTCCACAAAGAATGAGTTACTTGAATGACGACCCAAGTAAGATTCGTTAAATACAGGGTGTCCCAAGAAACATGACAGTTGGTGAATAGTTCAAAATGTCTTCTTCCATAATTTGTTAAGTTGTTTGATACAAAAGAGAATAATAAAAAAATAGTATATGACAGTCATATCGTAGTAAAATTGATTTCAAGTAAAATATATTTGAGTAAAAAATTTGTTTAGCGAAATAAACTGCAAAAGTGATTTATTATCTTATACAGTATATGGAAGGAGACATTCAAAACCATTCACCAACTGTTATGTTTCGAGGGACACCATGTATGACCATCCTTTGCTAAATCTTCTGCTGACTGTAGAATAGTCTTACAATCTATATATAAATTTGGCTTGTCTGTTTGTTTGTTTGTCTGTCTGTCTGTCTGTTTGTATCCAATAAACATCAAAACGGCTGAACCGATCGGGCCGAAATTTTTTGTGGGACATCTAGGGACCCCAGGGAAGGTTTATGAATGATTGAAATTTTAAAAATTTGTGTTTTAGAGGTTTTTAATTTTGTAAAAAAATTTAAATCTTTGAAAATCCGCGAATTTTTTTTAAATCCGCAAAACTTCTTTCATCCTTGAAATTCTAGTAAAATATGAAATATTTGGCAACGAAACAATGTTCTTTCTATTGTTTGATTGAAAAAAATTCTTTATTAAATTTATAAATAAAACTTCCATACGTTTAGTTTCAAATTCAATAGACAATAATCGACAATAAATAAAAATAGTAAAATAAAAGATAAAAATAGCAAAATCAGGAAAATAGAAATTAAAAATAACGGTTCAAGGATAAGCAGTCATTTAACATTAAAATATATATTTTTAAACATATTTATGCATTGAAGAATTATGTTTTGCATACTCATAATCAAATAATCGGTTTGGCAAAAATGAATTCTAATTTCTAGTAAAGTGTCAGATAAGTCGTGTTTAACTTATATCTAAAATTGACAATTGATGGGAAAATGTTAATTTTATTGTTTTCTAAAATTGAATAAAAAAACATAAATAATATAAGACAATAAAATCCGTAAGATAATTCCGAAACACATGATAAGGGCAAAATCTCCCATTTTTAGCAATATTATAATTAACCGTTTTATTAACTTACCTAAGGTTGACAGACTGAATTGGACACGAGGCCTTATTTCTCTGAAAGAAGGAAAATATAAAAAAGATTTACGAGCATTTTATTGTTTAAAAGGATGGCAATGCCCGATGTACACATGTACCCTTGAAACCTTAATCTAACCAAAAGTCCCAAAACTTTAGAGACAAATTTTTAGAGAAAATATAATATAAAAGAACATCTTTGCAATATATTACTTAATATGGACATTTTTCTTGGATTAACAAATTTTGTAAAATATATTTTTAGACATAATAAAGTAAGAGAAGAACAGTGTGGTCCGACTTATACAATCTTAATAATATAAAGTCTAGCAGACGTAATTTTATTATAATTTATTCCAACAAAGACGTTTGTCACTCTATCCCAAATTTATTTTTTTTAACTGTAAATCATGAGACTGATGTCCCAATACACATGAAAAGCAATTGGAAACTGAAGACAAATTTAATGTTCTCTCAATTATTGGTCTGTTTTATATCATTAGTCACAATTTGGTAAGATGACAGATAACATTGATAAAGCATTGCAGCAAGAATAAAAACAGAAATTCAACCAAAGACGTTTGTTCTGCAGAAAGCTCTAAAATCTGATTTTTATCCAAGATGCTTATATTTTTCTTTCTTTCCTGAATTGAAGAGAGGAAAACTCGGCTGAAGCAGAAACATCACGATGTCGTAATTCTGATCTATAAAACAACGATTTTATCTGGAATAATTTTTAAAATTTTCATTTTGAAAATAATAGATGCAAGGTGTCTAAAAAACGCGCTTTTAGAAGTTGAAGCACTCCACATGGTTTAATTTTCAAATTTTTTGAAAATGGAAGATGAAAATAACAACTATTCTGTATTTAAACATATCAAAAGCCTTAAATGCTAGCGTACATTTTTTTGATCAACTCCTGAAATCAACAAAGCTTGGTATTCTTGCATTTTTTAAATCTCTGGAACATCTCAAATTGATTGATATCAAAAAGTTATGGTGGAAAAAAAATTAAAGAAGTAAGAACGGTTTGAATTTGACATTTGGCGTGAGCTCTACAATGTCTAAAAGATCATTTTTATACACCCTGCAGGTACATTGATAATTACAACTATGATTATATAAGTCGTGAGGAAGGGCTCTATTGAACTTTGTCTAAATATATATTTTACTTGAAGAGAAAACATGAACTGTCTTCTATATTACATGAGACGAACTGTCTGTAGAACTTAGAAACTAAGAATAATAATAAAAAAGATGATGATAATTAAAAAATACTACTAATAATAATAATAATAATGATAATAATAATAATAATAATAATAATAATAACCTGTCAACGTGAATAGTTTTAGCCCTGTTATACTGAATATCCCTGGTGGGTTCTGAAACCCGTTCTTGTGTTCTACTCCGTCTCGGAGCTAGAACACGAGGTTCTCTAGTTCTCTCGTAACTCTTAGTTCTAGATCTTCTCCTGTCCCCGTTCTCCCAACTCTCCCTTCTCCTGGATGGTTAAGACTAGAGGGAACATAATGCGATTTTTACACTTTTTTTATTTTCTCAGTTTTTTGGTATCCCAGTCAACGTTGATAGTAGGAATTTTTATGTAAACCAAAATTGCTAAAAAAATTTATTAATAACACTAAAATACTGTTTAAAAGTAATCTGCACAAAATATAGAAAATCATATCTCATTTTGTTAAAGAGTTAGTAAGAAAAACAAAAATGTTTTGAATGAATGCTAGAAAATATAGTCAAAGTTTTAAATATTAAAGGTTAATGACATCAGGTTGCAAAGATAAACGGATTATGAAATACGAGTTTGAGTTGAACTTTTCTCAAAAATAAAGAAAGGAAATGTACGGGTTGTTTATGTCGTAAGCTCCCCATCTGTACCTGCTAGCTGGCTTCTTATCCTCAAATATTGGTGTGAGGGTCCGAAATGTTTCGAAATTGTTTCGAGAATGAGTTTCAAAATCTCTAGCTGAGGATCGGGAAAGCCTAGTGTGTTTATTCTGATGATTAATGTTAAGGACGTTAGATTCAGGTTTCATTTTAACAAGAACACAAACTTAGCTCAATACTTATATATTACAGGTAAATAGATCACTTTCACTTATTCACGTTCACTTTCACTTTGATCATCACTTTGTTATACCTTGAACTGGGGTTTCGGAAATAAAGCAGTGAACCCTGGAACAAATCATAAAATCATTAATCAAGGTGTGAAGAAGGAACTACAGGAGTCTACAGTCTACACAAATTAAGAATTTGCTCCGTCTCTTCAAACCTTGTCTAGAAATTAAAGAAGACATGTACAGTGTACAGTGTATTGTACATATCTAAAAGTTGACAATTTGACAACTTCTTTTCCTGAAAACCCAAACCTTGAGAAAAATTTCCCTCGTGCCCAGTTGGTACGGCTTTAGTTGTAATAATCGTTTATTCTAGCTACAGGGTGTCCCACGATTACGAAACATGACAGTTAGTAAATAGTTCTGAATGTCTTCTTTCTATACTGTATTAAATATTAAAGACTTATTGCAGTTTATTTCGTGGAAAAATCTTTTATTTAAATCTATTTTATCCCTGAAGTTAACTTTACTATAATATGACCGCCATATAATATCTTTTATCGTTCTTTTTCGTCTCCAACAACTTACAAAATTTTGGAAGAAGACATTATACTATTTACCAACTGTCATGTTTCGTGGAACACCCTGTATAATATCATTTGTTTCATATTACGTAAATTGCACTTAATGGTAAAGAGAGGTAACACGGCAGAAAAACTAGGGGGTGAAAATTACATAGATTATTTATCATAAAAGATATTATGTAAAATACATCATATGTTCATTGAGTATATATATTATATATTATATATTTATAAAATTAGTAATCTCTGTTTGTCTGTCCGCTAAAAGCATGGAACCTTTAAATGAATTGTGAATCTCGTTAACGTAATTTTATGTGGCCCGCTATTAATTGAGCGACATGACTGATTCACATAGGTACCCTTAAAAGCAAGAGTATGAATTAGATATCCAATGTTGTTGTTTATTGAAACTATGGTTTCTCTGTAAAAGTGACTAGAGGTAAACCTAAAAATTTAACTGATATAGGGCGGGGCCGGGGTTTGTGTGTGTGTGATTTAACCCTATTCCCGCTGGGGGGGGGTCAATTTGACCCCCCCCTGTAGTTTTTTTTACATAACTCAAAAAGTATTGGTCTGAGGCTGTTGAAATTTTCTGACTTTTCTTACATACCCAAAGCCCTCCCTTTAGACCTAAAACCGGGCTTTAATACTAACTGCCTGAGTCCTTTATAATTTCAATTTCATTGTGGTCACATGGCGGACCATATGGTATAGGTAACTATAACAATGCAAAAACAAATAGAAAAATGCTTTTAAAATGTTACTTAATCTTTATAAAATATCTAAACGTTTACTGAAGATTAGGTTTATTGTGGGAATAAACAAAAAAAAATATGTATAGTTATTATTAGATGGTTATTAATCGAATAGATTAATACTACGACATCAAATTACCAAGAAATTAAGTTTGAATATACTTAATAGAATGATTCCTAAGTGAATTTCTGAGTAGAAATAACTGAAGGCGCATTAACATTCGTTTCTTGATTCCCTTTCTTTAAATCATTAAAAGAATTTTTTCTATTTTTAGTCCCCTTAGCTCAAGAAGAATTTTATAGCACCCCAAAGATAAAACATTATGTTTTTAGAAAGCATATATTCACCAATATCTGCATAGAACTATACGTATAAGCTTTATATGTTTTAAAAGAGAGCTAACTTCGAGTTTTGATAAAGTTTTTGACGTCAATATCTACATCGTAGAATAATTTCTCTACCGCGCAAAATCAAAGTATACTCGAGTATTGCACCTTTGTTCATGTTGATTTTATAGAACCAATTCTTGTTATTTTATTATGGATTTAAATTTTTACTGGGAATTCGTATAAATACTAAGTGTCTTTGATCTACTTGGCTTTATTTAGTCACATAAAGCTGACTGACCGCTCTAGAAATGACTATTTTTGGAGGGGCCATTTTGATAAAACTTGAATTCTCAAAAAGCACTATTTTTTATAAATTAAAAAATATTGTATAGCTTACCTACGGAGGTATTAAAAAATATTCAAAAATTTATGGATAATTACAGTTCAAGCAAGACCACACGGTTTCACTTTCTAATGACCCAACCAAATTATGAGAAAATTGAGACGGGTTTTTATTTTTTCAAAAATGTCAAATGATTTTTTACAGTGTACATTTTTAGTGCTCACTATTTTTGTGCATTTTTAATTTTTAATTTCTGTGCTATCAACTTAATGATAGAAAATTTAAACGATGTAATTTATGAATTTAAATCCTTTAATTTTTCCCGAAATTTGTTGTTTCTTCGCCCGGCCGGGTTAAATTAAATAGATGTATGGGCATGACCAGACAATGGTACCGTTGTGTATCGAAAACGATGAGTGGAAAATAACTTAAAAATTCGTCTAACAGTCCCTTTATTCATTATATAAATTTGCACCTGGAGACTCCGTGAGAATATTTGCTCCAAGGTATGTAGACACATGTATATACTATATACTCTAAACCATCTGGAGGGTTTACTTCAACTAAACATTTTCATTTCTTTTCAAACCATTATACTTACATCAGCTTGCACCAGAGAAACTATGATAACATAATAGCAGGGGTAGGGGACTTAAAGAGGGTGAT